CCTCAGAAAGACGTTTCTGAGCTAGGTAGTGAAGCGGCCTCCCTGTCGGCTTCCCTCTGCCAACCCGGATTGCCCAAGGGATCTGTTCTGCCCAACCAGCCGACTGTGGCCTTCCATCTGGCTCACCAGCGCTGCTGCAATGGACTTAAGGCGGCAGGACCCTCAGAGTGGTGGGAGCGTCCTGGTCAGGGTTTGGTCGAGCCAGCGGGGATCTGGGGGTGCATTCCACCAGCCCCATTCCACCTCCTGCCTTCTGTATCGACCGGCAGCGCAGCAGAGCGGAGGGAGGGTGTATGTTTTCCTCAGGGCAGCAGAGCCGTCTGTGTGTGTTCTGGGTGACGGCTGGGCATCGGGGCTGAGGGCTTTCCTTGGCAGCGGCTGTTTTTCCAGCCTCGGTGATCCTGTTTCCTTGGGATCAGGGGGCGGAAGGGGTTTGGCCCTCTGGCCAGAGCCCCCCTTGTCAACCTGATGGGAGCAGAGGGTACATATATATCCTGCCAGCCACAGGAGCGCAGAGAGTCTCTGGCCCTTGAGTGTGGGTCAGGGCACTCGGTGGTGGCAAATCGAACTTCTGAAAGGGTCAGGCACCCAAGTCCATGAAGGGGGATCCTGGCCTTGGGGCTGGATGGGATTACAAGACTCCTCTTCGCTCCTGCCCAGGTGAGTGGCCTAGAAGCAGCCGCGCTGTTTCTGCATGACAGCTCTGTGGTTGTGTAGCCTCTTCCTGCCCACCAGGAAGGGGCCCAACCTAAGAGCTGCTTAAATGAATGGGAGCCTTTTTTTTTCCCATGGGAAGGAAGGAGAGCTCAGGAAGCCGGCTCCCATTCTAGGCCTACCATGGCCCCTGCCTTCCGTGCTGCAGGCTCTCCAGCTGCTCTTGAGTAGAGGTGTGTTCACATCTGCCTTCCCTGCTTCCTCCCCCCCCCCCCCTCCCCCTCCCCGATCCTGAGGTGGAGCAGCTAGAGGTATATCAGAAAGAGCAAGCTAAGCAGGTAATGCATGCCAGGGGTCAGCTGCTTAAGCGATGACAGTGCATGCCCATAGCTGCTGCTGCTGCTGCTACTGCTGCTGCTTCCCTCCATCGTGGCTGCCTTCTCCTGTTGTGAACTGTTTGCTGTGGGGCATTGCAGAGGACAGGCCTGGAGCGCATGGGGTAGCTCCCAGCAGTGAGGCTGCCACCGGCCTTGTTTGGGGGTTGTCTGATAAAACAGGCTCCACAGTCTCTTATCTAAACACTGCACCTTTTGCCCAGATGCCTCCTCACACAGGTCAGCAAAACTTTTCTTCTCTTATTCAGAAAAATAAACAAATAATTGGCAAGAGTGGAGGGGCGGGGGACTGGCGAACCCAGTCCTCCAATCCAGAGGCATGCACACAGGTTGGCCTGTGCCGTCCGGAGTTGTCTAGCACACCGAAGGAACAGGCAAAGAGAGCCGGGCCAGAGGAGATGCCTTGGATATGGCGCTGGGAAAAGTTAGTGTTGGCCGTGCTGCCTGGCAGGCCTGCAGTTTTTTTTAAAAGTACCTTTCCAGCCTTTCTGTATGATCCTTCTAGTAGGTTTCCCCAACAGTACAAGGAGCCCCGGGGGCTGGCAGAAGGGATTCACACTGTTGCTGTGGGTTAAGCTGTGCACCCTTCTGAGCTTCAGAAGCGCCTGCCAGTCTGGTCCGGAGGAGACGAGCGGTCGGAAGGGCTTCACGTCTTCCTGTGGCTGCTTCCTTTAAAAGTGTCTCCCTTTCCTCTGCCAGCACAGGAACCGTCTTGTGTGACTCGGGGTCAGCCTCTTTCTAGGCAGGGGTCCCTGCCAACCTTGAGAAGCAGCTGGGCAGGACTGACGGAGACCTCCTGCCTGAGGTGGCCCTTGTGTGGCCTCTGGGCTCTTGTGCAGCAGCTGCAGGTTCTCCTCTGGGCTGGGTGGTTTCGCCCCATCCTGCTTGTGGGGCCACTTTTACTTGAAGCACTGAAGGGATGTGCTTTTGGAGGAGGGGCCCGTCTGGCCCCTGAGAGAGAGAGGGTCATCCTTATGGATTGGGAGACGAGCAGTGTCCCTTTGCCAGTAGCAGCGAATCTGTTCAACAAAGGTAGGGGCCCCTTTGGAGATAGACATGTTTCTCTGGCAGGGCCGGGCATGTACAGTGGTTAACTGTGTATGCATGGATTGATGGCTTGGAGGACAGGTGGGTTCCTGGAGAAGAAGGGTGCTCTGTGTGTGTGCGCGCGCGTGTGTGTGTTGCTGATCGATTCACAGCACCAAAGCCCAGTGTGGTCAAAATACCTCTTCAATGTTCTGTTTGTATCCTGGTTTCCTGAGTTCTGTTTCTGGTTTAAGGATGAAAAGTCATGGAGATCTTAGAATAAAGGAGACTGTAGCAGAGTGGCCTGGTGCTTGGCCATTTAGGGTTGAGGGAGAAGTTCAGTTAAGATAGATGTTGCCACAAATGAATGAGAAAGTGGCCCTCCTTGCTTTCTACCCGCTTAAGCTCTGGACTCTTGCTCTTCCTTTGCCTGCTCCACCCCCACCCCAAACTCTCTGAGGTGTGAGGATAAACGTTCAGCCAAACCATGCTGTCCTAAGCCAGCTCAACATCTAGCGCTTATGGGCACTTAAAGCGAATTTCTCTGCTGCCTAAAATTGGAAGTGTACGACTTCAAGAGAAAATGAGCTTCAGCTGCCGCTGTCTGAAGCTAGTTCCTTTCCACACTTGGTTGAGTCTAATCTTGAAAGTACCTTTAGATGTCACTCTGATGCACGAGAGGCAAACAGTGAGCAATGGAGACTCTGTTTTAAGGCTTCAGGAAGAACCGGGGTTAGGAAACCCCTCTTTTGCATCAGATTTGTATTTTGTCGCAGCTTAAGGAATACTTGCTTTTGCAGCCTCACAACATTTCTCAACTCTCTTGCTGGAGGAAAGCTCTTCATCCCATCGGGGAGAGGCTAACTACTCGCTTGCAGCCTTTCTGTTTCTGACAGCCACTAACCAGCCATCTTTACTGTCAGGCAGTGTGTCGTTCGCATGGAGGGGTGCCGCTGTGGCTCTGCATGTGGATCCTTTCTCGCTGATTCTGCAGGTGGGCGGTGTGGGCCAGGGCTTCTCGGGATGCGTCGGCTGCACGGATGGAAGCTTGTGGGTGAATTGTAGGCACAGTAACATTGGGAAGGTTCTTCCCGGGGTGCCCCGACAGGGCTTCCATATATTTTTTGTGTCTCTGTGGTAAATGAGGAATCCATAGTCTTTGGGGTCTCAACTTGGGGTACAGACTGCAGGAAGAAGCTTGAAAATGTATTGCACACCTGGTGAAATCCCCTAAAGACCAAGGGTGGAGGGGCTAAGCAGGTATTACTGGGGGTTAAGCATCTCAAGGCTGTAGGTTGCTCTGCCTCCCCCTAGCCGTAGAAGGGAGTCATGACGCCGAAGCACTTGTTATTCCTTCACATGCATTTCCTCGTCCAGGGAGAGATGTGTTTGGACCTTCCTTAGCGGGGGCAGGCAGGGGCGTGGAGAGCTGTTTCACACTTTGAGGGGCCAGACCGTGCCAGGGAATGCAGGTTACGGCAGCAACCAGCCTCTTCCCACTGGCAAACTAGAACTTGGAGATGAAGNGCAGGGGGAAGGGGGGGGGGGGGGAGGGTGTATCCAGAGTTTTTAACTTTCATGGAATGCCCTGGAATTAATTATACAGAGAACCTCCTCAGGCTGAGCTAGTCTCTTTTCTCAGGCTGGGCTGGATGAGATGGTGGAGTGGCAGTGGCCGATTCAAGTGAGATGGGTTGGGGTTGGAATGACTCCTTTTTCCCCCTCCCTCCGCTTCCTCATCTCCAGGTAGATGAACTAAAGCAAAAGCTGGCTCAGCAAGAGAAGGCCGTCCAGACTCAGCAGCAGAAGGCTCAGGTAAGCTCTGGGGAATGGGTCTGGAGGGGGAACTCAGCAGAGCAGGTGAAGCTCCCAGAGGATGCTTGGACACACATACCCCACCGCCCTCTTGGAGTGAAAGACCCAGGAGACTGAAGTACAGTACCTCTCTTGGGTCATGGAGCTCCCTTTGCCTTGTCTGTCTGTCTGTCTGTCTGTCTCCTTGGTCAGCATCTGTTCAGACAAACTTGGGAAGATTTGGCCTTTGATTTTTCCAGACAAACAGCCCCCAGGGTGGGCCAAATGAAAGTTCCACGGATTCCGTCGGCCTGTGCTTTTCAGTGATGTGGCCAAGTTGCTGATTCTCTGCTTCAAGTGGGGAATTTTCAACCCACGTCTCTTGAGGGTCAATCCACTATCCTGTCCAAGCTGCCTCTCTCGGTTGACCTGCAAATCTGTATACACGTGCTTTTCGTTTCAATAATCTTCAGCAGCCCCGTTTTCTCTCTTGCCACCAAAAGAGATCTGGTGCATAAAAACACCAGACAGGACCTTCCCTGTTTGTAGCACCTTGATTTCAAGAGAAGTTGGGATTAACTTTAAGAGAAGTTAGGTTAATTTCCTCTTGGACCGTTAGAGATGGGAGCTATATACAGTCGGAGGGGAATCCTTGTAAGTTACTTTAGCGATTGTGAACTCCCATGGTTTGAGCTTCTGAGCAAGGGCCAAATTCCAGCTGTGAAGGCAGCTGGCCCCAGAGTGGCAGGCAAGAGGCCTATGCTGGCTCCCGGAAGGCAGTTAGACGGAAGTTGGATGTCAGGAAAGTCGTTGGTTGTAGAGACAGGGCTCCAAATCCACCCTCTGACAGAAGAATAAAACAGTGGGGTATCCTCTCAGAAGGGGGTCAGGGAAGAGGCCCAGTGAGTTTTGCAGACAGCAGCTATGGGGCACTGCCACCTCTGGGACCGGTCTCTTCCGGGATTTTGCTCTGCCGTGAGCTGTCTCAGATTTCGCCGACAGGGAGTCTGAAGGTTGTGGGGGAGGTATAGGGTTGTCTGTTGGCAATGAGGATGGTTCCCTTGCAGGGCTTAGGGAATTGACCTTCATGGACAACAGCTCCAGAAATCTCTCCACCCATGGCTATGCTGGCTGGAGGATCCTGGATGTTTTAGTCCCAAATAGTACATTTCCCCCTTGCATTCTCTTGCCACCACTCCATGGCATGATGCCTTCCTTCTGTGGGATTGGTGAATCTGGAGAAAAGGTACACTTTCCTGTGACATGCGCATACACACCAGCACTCTTCCCTTCCTTATCTCCTGCAGCAGCAAATACGGGGGGGGGGGCAGAGGGAGGGCCTTGACCGCTTCTGTAAGTTGCATGTTGATGCTTCCCATGGGGGGGGCGAGGGGGAGAGCGATTGCTACCTTTCTCTCTGCCTAACTGAGGGGAGAGGGTGTCCTTTTATGGTCGGGAAGACTGGGTCACGCTCCTGGCTGCCAAAATGGGCCAGAGGAGGTACTCACACAGTGTCAGCGTGGAAAAGCTGGCATGCTGAAGTTCCGTCTTGGGATTGAGCTGTCCTTGGAGCGCTCTGTCTCTGAGGGAGAAAAAACTGCTTCTGGTTCACCCCTGATTTTCCAGTGGTTCATGCAGTCTTTGTGAATTCCCACTCCTACTCCAGGGGAGACGTGTTGTTCTCTTGCAGCTAGCTCCTTTGGCTTGGGTTAGCGTATATAGGCATGCTGTCCTACTAGCATAGGCTGGGCGGGGGGAGGACACTCTGCGGAACTCCCTCCCTCCAGCAGGGCCATTGTCTTGGGAGCAGAGCATCGCATCAGAAGAGGTTCCTCCCTGGCAATGTGTGGAGATTCTGGCTCTCTCACCTTCAACAGGTGCGTGAAGAGGAGTTGCAGACCGCGGCTGGGCATCTGAAGGAGAAGATGGCTGAGCTGCAGGCTCAGCTTGCCCAGAAGGAGAAGGCCAGTGAGCATTACAAGGCCCAGGTACGAATCCTCCAGCTGCCTCCCTCTCTGGGTGTGTTGGTGTGGGTGTGCTTTTGTATCGGGGGTACTTTCCACTCTTGTGTTTCTCATCATGTCCCAGACGTTTGACTGTGGCCTCTCCTTCTGTCACCCGCAGATGGAGAAGGCCAAAACACATTACGCTGCAAAGAAGCAGGAGAATCAGGAGCTGCTGAAGAAGCTGAAGGGCCTGGAGCAGCTGGAGAAGGAGAACGCGGATCTGAAGGCCGATTCTGAACGGGTGGGGAAAGAGCTGCAGCAAACCCTCATGCAGGCCAAGGAGTCAGAGCTCAGCTGCAAGAACCTCGCCAGCCGGGTCCGCGCCTTGGAGGCCCAGGTATTGCGACCTGGGGGAGGGAGGGAGGGGCACGGCCACAGCCGCCACTGTTCCTTCTATTCCATACCCTGGCTTGTCGCCATTGGTGTGCCCAACAGAAAGAGAGGCCTCTGTCAACCCATTCCTGAAGCTGGTGCAAGAGATACTCCCTTTAGACGCTTGGTCTAAATTAAGGAGGCTGAAGGGCAGGTGGCAAGCCCTTCCTCTGGCGCGCACACACACACACAGAGGCCTTGTTCTGTGATTGAGAGCCTGCTGTGGGGAAGACTCTCCGCCCAGCCCTAGGTGCCCCTGGGGAGGCCGGGTTATGGGACAGGCCCCGGATGCAGCTCGGTGGGCTGCTGGTGGAACTTGGAACAGGGAGCAGTTTCATGGGCCACCCAGGAAAAGAAGGTGGGGAGAGGCCGGCGGCGCCCCAGCCTGAGTGAAAAGATCTCAAGGAGCAGAAGAGTTGGGAGAGGCCCCCTTTTTGCCAGAGGCCCCGAGGAGCCATCCCCATGCGCAGCAGGTCAGCATGGGAGGAGAGGGCACCCGCCTTCTACGGGTTGCATCTCTTAAGACGGAGGCAAACGACGACATGTTTCGGTGAGCAGGTCATCATGATGTTGCTGGTTGGCGGCAGCATCAGCAGCAGCATCATTGTGAAGTGGGAAAAGATCAGGTTTGACCATTTACTTGGCTGGTGATGGACAAGGCCTCCATGTTCTCCAGAATGGTCCTGTTATTAGGATCCCTGCTCAGACCTTGCAGACTCAAGGGCATGGCATCCTCGATCAAGTCAAGCCATCATACATTCCGTTTTCCTCTTGTCCTCCTGCCTTCCACTTTTCCTGGTTTCCTTCTCTTTGCCAGTGAGTCTTGTCTTCTCATGATGTGCCCAGAGTGTGATTAGCCACTGTTTGGTCACTTTCACTTCTAGAGAGAGTTAAGGCCTGATTTAATTCAGGAGCCACTTATTTTGTCCCTTTGGTGGTCTATATTCTGCTAATCACAATGTGTTCCTCCAGCACTACACGTGAAATAAATTTGCCTTTTTCCTTTCAACTTTCTTCCTTGTCCAGCTTTCCCTGATAAGCCTAGCCTTTCTTATTTTAATGGAGTAATTGTACACCTGTCTCAGAACTGAAAGTGGAAACCTTTGGCTGTTGGTAGAGCAGGCATGAAGGTAGCAGTGCCTAGAAAAATACATCCTGTAGACCGAGGAACAGTTAAGAATTCGGGCAGCTGGGGATCCTTGGCCTTAACCCACTTCAGAAGTGCAAACAAGGCCCAGCTATGTAAGGGTGTGTGTGTGGGGAGAAAGACTTGAGCATGGGTTTCTGTTGGCACGGAGCTCTCCCAGGTGTGGTTTGTGCCTGGCTGCCATCCTGTTCGTCACCCTTTTCCCAACCACTACGCAGGTGGAGTTTGCCGACCGGCAGCTGCGAGAGCAGGGCAAGTTCCAGGTGGCCAAGGACACATTGAAGAGCCGTGAGACCTACAGGCAGAGCCTGGCTGACCTCAGCACAGACAGCCTTGATCTGAGTACCAGCGATGAAGCACAGCCACTCAACTCCACCAGGTACGGGCTCGAGGGGAAGCGGGGGGGGTGGGTGTCAGGAGGGAGGGATGTGCAGAGAGCAGAGCTCCCGATTCCACGTCGACTTCAAAGTGTTGATGCTTATGTATAAAGCCCTAAACGGTTTAGGGCCTC